TTGCTTTAACATTTGAAAATCTGTACGATGTCTCGGTTAAAGTATGTCCATCATTACATCAAACATAGTGTCAGAAATAGTTATGTTCTTTTTCGCTATTTATATTAAAAAGACTGGTAAGGTAGCCTATTGTAAACAATCTCGCAGAAACATCATTGAACGTTTTAATTTTTATATTTTCTGATTTTATAGCAGCGATAGAATCATCAACATATTGCATCTAAAATGTCGATCTCTTTTTAAAGTCAATTATGGTTGCAACCATACATTCACGAATGGTCAGATTCAAAATTGTTAAGACACTGATTGTCTAGTGATGAGGATCTAGATATTTGTAGCATTGAAATATAGAAAGACATTGGGTGTTAGGTGATTTTCTCCAAATATGGACTACTACTGACTGACGGCTATACATATAGATTTAAAATATTTATTTGGCGATAGGAGACTACACATACAAAATACATAACATAAACATCAACAGAAAATGACTCAAGACTCAAGACTCCAACATCAAGTTTTCTACCAAATTACTTTCAAGTGCTTGTTATAGTCTAATGTCATTTCAAATCTGTATTTTAGAAACCGAAAGTCGCCGAAGGAAACAACTACCAATGAGACAATGTCAAACCGGGAGGAAAATGAAAGTGACAACTCACAATACCAATACGTTGATATAAGGCATTCTCACGTTACCTATTCAAACCACAACAATCACGATTTGGAAATTGAGGACCAAGAGTCAGCCAATGGTAAATCCTCCAGCTACGATCATATCGTTTGGAACAGGTTGTCCACAAGGGATGCAACTCCAGTTAACGATAACGATGATTACGATCATATCGAGATCAAAAGTTTAATGGGAGTTACCAATGACTCGTGAGCACGTTGGAATAGATCGAAACATTTGCCTCTATTCCAACCTCTGATAGCTTTTTGAATGTTGTCGGCTGGTGTAGAGACAGAAAAAAACTAAGAAACCCTCTACAACATTTATGTCAGGTCCATCAAAAATTTTCTTTTAACGAAAACGATTTCTCGTCGGTCATTTAAAGCGGTAAGCACTCGAATGAGAAAATTTTTTTTTAAGTTCAGTCAGTTAGACATGAGTTTTTAGGCACACTTCTTTTTGCACAGGTCATATAGGCACAGTGTTATATAGCGTTATATATGCACAGCATTATATAGGCACAGCGTTATATAGCGTTATATAGGCACAGCATTATATAGGCACAGCGTTATATAGCGTTATATAGGTAAAATGATTCAAGCTCACCTTCAATTAAGTATATAATCACTTAGTCACACACTTTTTAAGCACACTAATATAAGCAAAAGGCGGGCGCTAAACCGTCATCGTAAAGGTAATTTAATATTATGGTAGAAAAAACGCATTTTCCGACTCCTCTGCTCAGCTAATAACTTTCAATATACCTATGCGAAGGTGGAAACAAGGCAAATGTTTCGATCTGACATAGAGGTTGATATTCAGACCGCAATTGTATTAGACCAAAGAGGCATAACCCACATGCTACTAAGTCGAGTGGCTCAAAGCAAGAAGTAATAGACCGATTGAAAGGTTTTTGTCTCCAAAGGTGAGATTATAATATTGAAATGTGGATATGTGTGCAATGATGTTTTTGTAAAATCGGTAAGCTTACATCATTGATTTTTTGTCTGTGAAGCATTTGATGGAAATATTTAAAAAAAAGAAAATCTGAAATCTTTTCAAGTGGCAGAGACAATAGTAACAGAGACGTGTATATGCAGATTAGTTCTCGATCCAATGGTAGTTTTTAGATTCTAGAAAGCAATGCGGTGGTCCCAAGTGACTACTTTAAACTTATGAAAAAAATTGAACCCACTTGGTGCAGAAAAATAGAACGTAAAACTCCATTCATTTCATTTTAATCAACCAGATAACTTGGATACTAATGAGGTTTAGTAGACACTCAATGTTATTGTTATTATTTTCTTTATAATATAGGTTTTATTTCTGTCCGAGTTTAAATGTTTTTTTTTTCCTTTAAAGTAGAAATTAATGTGTATATATGAAAAAAATTTTTTTGACAAGCTAACTTTTCTATATTTTTTACATATAACCTTTGTGCTTTATTCAATTATTATTTCATTTTATTCTTTGATTGTCTGAAAAGATATAAAATAGGAAATATAAATATAATGTAGAAAAACTGATATACATGTATACCTTTCCAAAACTGTAATCTCTATGTCAACAAAATATTTTTTGAGCTAGTTCAGTCGGATTTTTTGACCCGGTTCACCCTTCAATTATTTAGCTAGGAGGAGCTGACAGCTAAAATAGTCCAGTCGTTTAGAATTGAAAATTAACCACCCCTCCAACGTACTACAGGCTCTACGTCTTAAAGATTTTTCGAAAGTTAAAAATCGAGAGCAGTAGGTTAAGTTCCTTTCATTCCACACTTCAAACCGTTCCCGCATTCGCAATCACAGACCAAACCATGATCACGTAGCTTTAAATAAGACACAATACTCCTTTTAATTAAGAGTACAGAGATCATTATAGACGTCCATTTTATCTGACCTAATCATTATAGACCTCCATTCTATCTGAAATGATTAATACAGACCTCCATTCTTTCTGACTTAATCAATATAGACCTCCATTCTATCTGACCAGATCATTTTAGACCTCAATTCTATCTGACCAGATCATTATAGACTTCCATTCTATCTGACCAGATCATTTTTAGACTTCCATTCTATCTGACCTAATCATTATAGACCTCAATTCTATCTGAAATGATTTTTACAGACCTCCATTCTATCTGAAATGATTATCACAGACCTCCATTCTATCTGACTTAATCATTATAGGCCTCCATTCTATCTGACCTAATCATTATAGACCTCCATTCTATCTGACCTAATTATTATAGACTACAATTCTATCCGACCTAATTATTATAGACCTCCATTCTATCTGACCTAATCATTATAGACTACGATTCTATCCGACCTAATCATTATAGACCTTCTATTCTATCTGGCCTAATTATTATATACTCCCATTCTATCTGAATTAATCATTATATGACTTCCATTCTATCTGACCTGATTATTATAGACTTCCATTCTATCTGACCTGATCATTATAGACCTCCATTCTATCTGACCTAATCATTATAGACTACGATTCTATCCGACCTAATCATTATAGACCTCTATTCTATCTGGCCTGATTATTATATACTCCCATTCTATCTGAATTAATCATTATATAACTTCCATTCTATCTGACCTAATCATCATAGACCTCTATTCTATCTGACCCGATCATCATGGACTACCATTCTATCTGACCTAATCATTATAGACCTCCATTCTATCTGACCTGACCATTATAGGCCTCCATTCTATCTGACCTGATTATTATAGATTTCTATTCTATCTGGCCTGATTATTATAGACCTGCATTCTATCTGATCTGATTATTATAAACCTCCATTCTATCTGACCTGATTATTATAGACTTCTATTCTATCTGACCAGATTATTATAGATTTCTATTCTATCTGACCTGATTATTATAGAACTCCATTCTATCTGACCTGATTATTATAGACCTCCATTCTATCTGACCTGATTAATTTAGACTTCCATTCTATCTGACCGTATAATTATAGACTTCCATTCTATCAGACCTGATCATTATAGACTTTTATTCTATCTGACCTGATCATTATAGACCTCCATTCTAACAGACCAGATTATTATAGACCTCCATTTTAACTGACCAGATCATTATAGACTTCTATTTTATCTGACCTGATCATTATAGTTTTCCATCCTATCTGACCGGATCATTATAGATTTCCATTCTATCTGACCTGATCATTATAGACCTCCATTTTATCTGGCCTGATCATTATAGACTTCCTATAATTATCAGGTCAGATAGAATGGGAGTATATAATGATCAGGTCAGATAGAATGGAGGTCTATAATGACCAATCAAACAATAAAAGACTTAAACTTCCGAAACCACGACTTTCCCTAGCCAAATGCAGTTTTAGTTTGAAGGGATCAAGCCTTCCAATATAAAAGTTTTGAACAATCCCAAATCATTTCATTAAAATTTACATCTCAAAAACAAATAGTTAAGGTTTTTGATCAAATTTTTATATAAATCTACCAAATGATAGTTTTTACATATTTCTTTTGTTATCAATTTTAAATTGCTTGTATAATTGTTGCTGATTAATTGCGTTTGTATGTGTATATATATAAGTCGGGCGAAATGCAAGAAAGTGACTATTATTATTATTACACATTTGATAATGTAAATAGACAATTGAAATATAGTGTTATATTGCTTATTAATCTCACTCGTATACTTAATTGGAGTTGCTTTTCCTTTATGGACTATGTTTTTCTATGATGCGTATGAATACAAGAAAGTAGTACACACATGTATGTAACCGCCATGATGTCTGAATTTGATGATTAAAGTTTATTTGTTTATATTCGATTCTTCCTGTCCTGCTTATGCTAAGTTTGGCCGTCCTCACGATACAACATATAGAATTATGAATATGAAAGTGTCTAACTATCTACAGATTGAAATTATAATGGGAGTCCATTTCTATATGTTAGTTGTGGTCAAATAAAAGCCTTGTGTTAGACACACCGTAATAAGACTATTGAAATATTCAAGTCATGGTGAACGTTTTTCTTTTGCTTATATGCTTACGTTTGAAACGTTTTATATGAATTAAAAGACACTATAAAAGGGACAAACATGTATATAACAATGCCCGACCTTTAATAGTTTAACTATGACGATAAGTAACGTTTTGAATAATAATATCTCATAGTTAACAATTTGTAAATCTATGAGGATAAGACATCAAACATTTTGAATAATAAAACCACTAAGATCTAGAACAGTTTTTGAATTCAGGATAATCATACACCTGGCAGAGAACTCTAAATGATATAATGCTAATTTGGTGGATTTTGGGTCTATTGGTCGTTGAAGTTGAAGGTATGGTCTGTAAAACTTATATACTTTAGAATTCTTCCAATTTGCGACAGACATGTACAAAGACTGTTGAATAATGAGATTTACTATTACTATGATATTATAGACATGATATTATAGATGTGATATTATAGACACGATATTATAGACATGATATTATAGATGTGCTATTATAGACACGATATTATAGACATGATATTATAGACATGATATTGTAGACATGATATTATAGACATGATATTATAGACATGATATTATAGACATGGTATTATAGACATGGTATTATAGACATGATATCATAGACATGGTATTATAGACATGATATCATAGACATGGTATTATAGACATGATATTATAGACATGATATTATAGACATGGTATTATAGATATGATATTATAGACATGATATTATAGACATGATATT